AAGAAGCTTCCCCAAAAAAAATCTTGACCCGAAACCCCTCCGAGCACATCATGTGCGTCTTCATCCACTCAGCTTGGAGGATGGTTGGATGGCTTGTGAGCGGAACACCAGGCAAGGCCTTGCTCCAATGCTCGTCCATCTCCTGCAGGGAGATCTTGGGAAAGGAACGTCCCAGCCTCGGTCGGCGTTCGATTCGACCCGTGGGGGCCTTCCCAAACGGTCCGGAGAGGGTCCGCCTAACAGTTGGCAACCGTTGGGAGGCAAAGGGTTGAAGCCAAACACCTGCTGAGATTGGGCTTAGCAGCTTACAGTATCTTACAGTAGGTTGGTCACGATGGTTTTGATTGATTTATATTATATAACCTATTGAAACACTCTAGGCCTCTGGAGTGTTGCCCGAAAATGCGATGCCCCCCAGCATCATCTGGTTACAACATATTGTTACAACAGAAGAAGAACAACCGAGATGTGGGAGAAACATATGTATATATATATATGAGTAATGTAGCTGTAGCTTCTACAACTCGTAAGACACTCAAACACATCCAGCATGTTGCCATGTCACATCCCCACCTCATCCCAGGTGATCCTGCCGATCGCTTCGGTGCTTTTTGCATGCTCGCCGCGAACGCCACCGAAGCGATCGGTCGAAGTCCTGGGCTTCCCCAACAGCTCTCGTGCCGCCTCCTGTGGAGCGAAGCTCCGCAGCTTGGCACCAAAGGTCAGATGCATCAGCAAACGCCACACCTGAAGAAGAAGCTGCTAGTTACAAGGGCATCGCTTTTGGAAAGACGGATTCAAGAGCGAGACATGTCCAGGGTTGAAAACGTTCCACCATGTTCCACTCATGTTCTTGGGATAGGCTTGTCCGTTTGGCAGTTACGAAGAGATTGACTTCCTTTGAGAAGTCCAAGTGGGAATGAAGATGGGACTGTGGTTAGCTTGCTTCGGGATAGAAGCACATTTGCTCGGTTCAAAGACACTCTCCATACAGAAGCACTTGCTATGGCTGCTATGGACATGGACAGTGTATATATGTTGTTTCACCTGCCGGGGACTGGGACTGTCCACGAAGCTATACAAGAAGGTGCCTGGTGATCAAATGTGCCGTGTGCCGTGCATCCAGTGGGTTGTGGAGAGGGGCAGGATTGGATCTTCGCCCAGGAGAGACATCTTGAGGCTGGACATCTTCCGACCTCGAAGCCTCAAGGCCCAGCCAGTCGCAAGTGAATCCTCCTGTCAATTCCTCGGTCCCTAGGGGTCCCAGGCATTGAGCAACATCCGCCCGGGCAGCTGCAGGTCGCTGGGCGCCACCATTTCGGACCTCAATGGGTGCACTCCGAGGTTGATGGGTGGGTGCAAATGGAACACCAATCCTGCAATCACCTGCAACCGGCCGCGTTGGGACCCATTTGTAGGATCAAAAATCACCAATCCTGCAACTCTGCTGGCCCGATGTCCGTCGCATGGGTGAGAATGTGTGCCCCTTCAACCACTTGAATCGAAGGTGAAGGTCAAGGATCAAGCAGGAGGAAAGTTCCAAAGCAAAAATAGCAAACATTGGATCCACTATGATCCACTCATCCACTCTTGAAACACCTCTCGGGTCCGGTATAGGAACCTGTGTCTTGTGCGCCCCCGGTCCAGGAGCCCGGCTCCAGGGTCCGCAGATCCTGCCCCTGCCCTGACAGCGGTGGCGAGGATGCCAAAGCTGACAGCGGCAGTGACGTGGCCTTGGGACGGGCGCAGCGCAGGGTGCAGGGTTGGGTTGGGCGCAGGGTGGCCACGAAACGCTTCGAAACGCTCTTCCCGGTGGCTTTTTCATCACGTGTGGCCCTATGGTTTTGAGGGACCAAGGCCTGTTTGGAGTGCCTGGGAATGTGCTTTCCCCAAAGAGAATATCGGGTCCGACTCACTCCAACTAGCTCGGTGAACAAAGGCCGAAATCCAAAACGAAGAGATTTGAAGCTGAAGTGTTTCACATTCCCTGGAAATCAGCATGTGGAATGAAAATGACCCCTATAGGCCTATAGGACTATAGGATGATGTTTTTCCCTGTGCCAAATCTACAAAACTAATCAAAACAAATGGTGTTCCACTTCCATGATGATTCCAGTGTAGCCGCGTAGCCCATGTTTCAGCTCCAAAGGCGCAGGTTGGGCCCCCCAAACTGCACCACTTGACATAACCCCAATTCCGCCGTGCTGCGAATTGTTACTAGTATAGTGATGCCCTTGCTAAGTATAGTAATGCCATGTAATGCCCTTTCTACTAGTAGCGATGCCCTTGTTGCTAGTAGTGAATTGAACCCCTTCACGGCTTGGACACTGCCGGCGATTCGTTCTCATCGCCCGTCGCGGGCCGTCATCCCTCCACTGGGTTTCTGGACGTCATACGGCACACGCGACAAGGCCGTCCGTAGATCCTGGAGTGTTTCGCGACTGCATCGACGCATCCATCAGTGGAGAGTTCGGTGGAGATGTTTGGACATGTCTCTAGTGAAAAAGGGCATCGCTACTAGTAACAAGTGCATCGCAGTAGCTAGAAAGCTACTAGTAGTAGCGCCCTTGTTACTAGTAGCGATGCCCTAGTTAAGGATACTAGCAGCCTAGTGGCTTCTTAGACTCCCAGTAGTAATGCCAGGAGTAGCTGAACTCTCACATCCCAAGAGGTGGATTTTGGACTCATTGGCCATCAGGCCATGTCGCCCTCGGGAGTTGAGCCCCAGGAGTTCGGGAAAAGGGACCGTACCGAGGTCAGCCGGTCAGCCGGGCAAGCAGCGTCACCACGTCGATGCGTGGAGATCGGGGCGATGGCATCTTGAAGTTATGAACCCATCTTCAACAGAATATGCACAAATGGTTGCCCGTTTGCAGTGATGTGCCTCTTCGACGCCTCACTTGGGATGCAAGAAGAACATGTGAATCGGCACAAGGCCATTGGGCCATGTGAGTTGGACCATCTAACATTCAGAACCCTCAGTTGAAGTCCTGAAACTTCTCCGCCCTTGACTCAGATTCTCTAAGAATCCAACCATCTCGTTCCTTCGGATGACGGGTGAGACCCCCGGTCCTGTCTCCCCAAAGCTTTGGCTCGTGCAGCAAGGAGACCCCAGCTGCGGCTCCGGACATCCCACCCCAGACACACCTGGCGCCGGTTCCACCCGTCCGTGGGGTTCGCGAAGCGGTTCGCAAGGCCGCGGCCCCAGCTGCAGTGAATTACAAGCAGCTTCAGCTCCCAATGAAGCTGACCATGAACGACAAATGCTGGGAAGCCTGCGAGCTCACAGAAATGGATCGCTCTATCTATTTGCTATCGTAATATTCTTGCTATTTGTTCCATACAACTGATTGTAGTGAAATATTGTCAGCTCTGTCTATATCAAATCCGACCCAAAACCTGAGTGATCTTTCTTGGAGCGCCATCCACCCTCACTGTGGCCCTGGTTGTTGGAGCTACTCACGCTTCACAGCCCTCCCGCCAACACCACGCGTGAGGGCCACTAGCGCCCCCCACGTCGGGGTCGGCGTTCTGAACCAGCTCCACCAACGCCTGCAGGGCTGGCTGCGGTTCGGAAATGGCAGGACTACACCAAATGACACCTCTGGGACTCCAAGGGTTCCAACATGTTCCAACAGCTAAACCCTAAACCCAGTCCTAAACCCTTGAGCCAAGCGGATGTCTGTGAAGCTCAGTCCCGCGAACATTCGCGCCGAGTAGCCGGACAGGTTGGAAACCGTCTGCCATGGGCCATAGCTGTGAATGTGACAAAGGCTGCAGATGTCCTTTCCCATCTTGTCCCAAGTCTCTAACAGCACAAAACCCAAAAATAAATAGATAAAACAAGGGGTCCCAATTATGCTTCCATTCACAAATATCACCTGGATTTGTTGATGCTCCGTGCTCTCCCGCTATTGCTGCTGGCTGTGATCCTGCATGGTACCTTGGCCTGTGTTGACGCAGAAAACCCGGGGTCCGAAATGTGCCACACCTGTGAATCCCCCATCATCGGGCCAGAGCCCTGGTGGGGCACTAGCGTCCAGCCGCGTCCATCAATGCAAATCAAACCTCCGGGACCATCCTCTCGGTGAATCCCCGACATCTCCCATCTGACATCTGCCTCAAGAAGCTCCTCCTCACTGTTGACACGGCGAAGCTCCAGCTTCATCTGCTTGAGATCCTCCTGCCACCTCTCCTTCATGGCGAGAAAGCCGACACGACGCGACAAAGATCAACTCCCGCGGGGCAGTTAGGGAATGTTAGGGATGGACTGCAGCTACGGTGGAAAGATGTAATCCAATTATTTACATAGAATTATAAGATAATTTTGGCCAATTTTTGGGCTATAGGATGCTATAGGTTGGCCACGACATGGGGAATCAACACCTTCAAGCGACATGGAGAACCCAACTCGTGCCCAAAAAAACGTGCCGTGCCCGCGCGACGGTGCGCCCTCGCAGTTGCCCCAGCCCTCCGCAGTTCACCCAGCCCAGTCACTCCTCCTCCCATCGGTCATGGCTCACCACCAGTGCCCCACGCTGATCCTCAGGTCGCATCTGGCGACCTCCTAACAGGCAGCCGTGGGGACGCAAGGCATAGCCTCAGTGTGATGGACCGGTGCTGGGTCAAACCCTGGGAGGCTGTGGGAGAACAGAATTCAACGCGGTTTTGCTGACTCTTGACGTTTCTCCATGCATGATGAGAACCAGGAGTCTTGTCTTGTAGCTTTTTTTTCGGATGCATGTGGATGTGTATGTGTAGAACTGTGCTCATATCTTGGCGGAGTGCCCGATTGAGACTAGCCATCCTACCTCTCCGGTTGCAGGGAACAATCAGGCCGATCTCGGTGAAGACATGTGAAGACTGTTCCACCAGTCTTCATCTGGATGATTCTGGGGATGATGTATCGTATTTTTGTCACGGTGAGCTATTTGGATCACGGTGAGCAGCTATTTGGATCAGGCTGCCCTTCTTTTCACCTCCCAGCCGCCATCAATGAGCTACCTCTCAAGCCGGAGGGCCCAACGTGGGGTACCCCTCGCGGCGCGAGGGCCCCACATCTCTTGGATCCTGCATCCAGCCGCGCAGTTCTCTCTACATAGAGTTAGGATGACAGCTTCCGATCCAACAAGAGCTTCGACAATTTCAAACAAATTAGGATACCAACAGGGAAGATGCCCGGAAGCCCTGGTCTTTGAGGTTCCGGGGGGCTTTGGATGGGCAAGGGATCAAAAAAAATAAAATGCATCAAAAAACAAATATAATTCAGGGTATCAAGAAAAAACAAAAATGAATCAATAAAAAAATAAACGGACCCAAACGAGTGGAGGGAAGCGCAATAGTCCAACTCGAAGCAGTGATCAAAAGAAAAAACAAAAACGCATCAAAAAAAACAAAAACTAAATCAACCTACACGGATACCTTGGATTGTCCTGTAGGGCCCTTGGGTCGAGACCAACCTATCCACTACAACGGTCGGCCTCTGCCCTCTGTGTTCGGTTCGAAATTGCCAAGAATTCAAAAGATAAGGTGTTTCAGGTTTTGGAGATTCAAGAGGTCACGGTTGAGAACAGGACGCCTACATCTACAAAGATCCAAAGGCCTCGACATCCAGACATATCTAGTGTAAAGGTGTAGAGTCTAGAGACCCACAAAATCTTGCAGAGGTTCAGATCCAGCTCTTCCAAAATTTTACTGGCGTGCTAGAATGGAATGGCTTTCTGCCCTCTAACCTTTACTACTGTACATTCGGGTGGCTTACAGAAGGGCGGCGCCGCAGCCGCGCACACGGATTCAACTCAACTGCGCACACACATTTATCGGCACTTGTGCCTCATCTGCGCACACACTTGTTAACTCAGCGTGCGCACACCCCACCATGGGGAGTCAAGTGCGCACACAGGCCCTTTCCCGAATGTTGCTGCGTATTCCAAATTTCACCCTGCGTTGCTCACTTAAAAGGGTAGTCAACTTGGAATAGCCACTTCCTGGTCTATTTTTGTTACTCTCCAGTGGCTCACCAAGGGGTGAGTCAACTTGGAATGAGCACTTCCTTCTCTAAATTTTGCCCCTGCATTGCCCACAAAGGGTGAGTCAAGTTGAAATGGCAACATCCTTCTCTAAATTTTACCCTCGGGCGGCTCACCAAAGGGTGAGTCAACTTGGAAGGGCAACATCCTTCTCTAAATTTTTCCCCTGCGTGGCCCACAAAAGGGTGAGTCAAGGTGAAATGGCAACATCCTTCTCTAAATTTTACCCCTGCATGGCCCACAAAAGGGTGAGTCAACTTGGCATGGCCAGTTCCCTCTCTAAATTTTACCCTCCAGTGGCTCACCAAAGGGTGAGTCAACTTGGAATGACCTCTTCCTTTTCTAAATTTTACCCTGCCCACAAAAGGGTGAGTCAAGTTGAAATGGCAACTTCTTTTCTAAATTCTACCCTCGGGTGGCTCACCAAAGGGTGAGTCAACTTGGAAGGGCAACATCCTTCTCTAAATTTTACCCCTGCATGGCCACAAAAGGGTGAGTCAAGTTGAAATGGCAACATCCTTCTCTAATTTTTAGCCTCGGGTGGCTCACTAAAGGGTGAGTCAACTTGGAAGGGCCACATCCTTCTCTAAATTTTGCCCCTGCATGGCCCACAAAAAGTTGAAATGGCAACATCCTTCTCTAATTTTTAACCTCGGGTGGCTCACAAAAGGGTGAGTCAAGTTGAAATGGCAACATCCTTCTCTAAATTTTACCCCTGCGTGGCCCACAAAAGGGTGAGTCAACTCGGCATGGCCGCTTCCCTCTCTAAATTTTACCCCTGCATTGGCCACAAAAGGGTGAGTCAAGTTGGAGTGACCACTTCCTTCTCAAAATTTTACCCTGTGCACAAAAGGGTGAGTCAAGTTGAAATGGCAACATCCTTCTCCAAATTTTAGCCTCGGGTGGTGCAACAAAGGGTGAGTCAACTTGCAGCTTTCCTGGCCACTGCAGGCAGCACAGGTCCGTAAGCTGGCCACCTGCAGCAGCACAGTGCTCACAACACTCTGGCCACCTCCAGCAGCACAGCGCTGACGACACTGGCCACTGCAGGCAGCACAGCTCCGTAAGCTGGACATCCAAAGGCCTCGACATCCAGACAGATCTGGAGTGTAGAGGTGTAGAGTCTAGAGACCCACTAAATCTTGCAGAGGTTCAGATCCAGAGGCCAGGGGAACAGAGGACCAAAGGACCCGGGGCCTTACGGTCGCCTCACCTCTTCAAAATTTTACTGGCGTGCTAGAATGGAATGGCTTTCTGCGCTCTAAACTTTACTACTGTACCTTCGGGTGGCTCACAGAAGGGCGGCGCCGCATATTTTATCAGCACTTGTGCCTCATCTGCGCACACACTTGTTGACTCAGCGTGCACACACCCCATCGGGGGGAATCAAGTGCGCACACAGGCCCTTTCCCGAATGTTGCTGCGTATTCCAAATTTCACCCCTGCATTGCTCACTTAAAAGTGTAGTCAACTTGGAATGGCCACTTCCTTCTCTATTTTTTCCCTCCAGTGGCTCACCAAGGGGTGAGTCAACTTGGAATGAGCACTTCCTTCTCTAAAATTTACCCCTGCGTTGCCCACAAAAGGGTGAGTCAAGTTGAAATGGCAACATCCTTCTCTAAACTCTACCCTCGGGTGGCTCACCAAAGGGTGAGTCAACTTGGAAGGGCAACATTCTTCTCTAAATTGATCCCCCTGCATGGCCCACAAAAGGGTGAGTCAAGTTGAAGTGGCAACATCTTTCTCTAAATTTTGCCCCTGCATGGCCCACAAAAGGGTGAGTCAACTTGGCATGGCCACTTCCCTCTCTAAATTTTACCCTCCAGTGGCTCACCAAAGGGTGAGTCAACTTGGAATGACCACTTCCTTTTCTAAACTTTACCCTGCCCACAAAAGGGTGAGTCAAGTTGAAATGGCAACTTCTTTTCACAATTTTACCCTCGGGTGGCTCACCAAAGGGTGAGTCAACTTGGAAGGGCAACATCCCTCTCTAAATTTTACCCCCGCATGGCCCACAAAAGGGTGAGTCAAGTTGAAATGGCAACATCCTTCTCTCAATTTTACCCCTGCGTGGCCCACAAAAGGGTGGGTCAACTCGGCATGGCCGCTTCCCTCTCTAAATTTTACCCCGCATTGGCCACAAAAGGATGAGTCAAGTTGGAGTGACCACTTCCTTCTCATAATTTTACCCTGTGCGCAAAAGGGTGAGTCAAGTTGAAATGGCAACATTCTTCTCCAAATTTTACCCTCGGGTGGCGCAACAAAGGGTGAGTCAACTTGCAGCTTTCCTGGCCACTGCAGGCAGCACAGGTCCGTAAGCTGGCTCGCTGAGTAGCTGGCCAAATGGGGGATAGAACAGGAGTTCAAAAGTGGTCCTTGTTGTTGTGTGTGTTTTTTGGGCGATGCATCAAAAAATGCATTAACATAGAATACATAGATGCATCAAACAATGCATTAACATAGAATACATGACAACACTTGCCATTGCAGGCAGCACAGCTCCGCAAGCGGGCCACCTACAAAAGCCATCGAAAACCAAAGGCAAAAGCCACCAAAACCCAAGAGCCACCGAAAGCGAACCTTCCTTCCTGCCTTGCTGCCTTTCTTCCTTCCATCCATCCTTCCTTGCTTCCTTGCTTCCTTCCTTCCTTCCGTCCTGGCTTCGTACCTTCCTTCCTTCCTTCCTTCCTTCCTTTCTTCCTTCCGTCCTTCCTTCCTTCCTTCCTTCCTTCCTTCCTTCCTTCCTTCCTTCCTTCCTTGCCTTCTTGCCTTTCTTTGTTTCTTTTCTTTATTTTTTTATTGATGCATTTATATTTTTTTCTTGATGCATTTATATTTCTTTTTTGATGCGTCTCCCGTTTCGAGTTCTTGCAGACAGCTTGCAGGATGCAGGCTAGTCGGAAGAAATCCTGCACAGCCTGGAACCCTAAGCACTGCAAATATGCGGGGCATTCTCCACTTTAGCCGGTTCAGGATTTCTTTCTTCCACAGTAGTGTACGGCTGGCCTCAGTGCCAGCATCCGACGTTAATCGATGCTTCCGTGCTCGCACCAAGCTTTCGGGCTCGCATGCGTGGGCACGCGAGGATGTCACCGCGCATCAGGCGGCTCAGGATCAATCCATCTTGGGCGGCAAGTTCCAAAACAAGACCTTGGTGTTCAGCATCTTCGTGGCATTTTCAGGTCGGAGTTGGACGCTGAAAATTCCGCCGAAGATACCGCGATGAAAACGTATGCCAGCATCAGAAGGTAACCTGAGGATTTCTCGGCACATTGCCGGAGTCAGGGCTGCGACACTTGAGGGGCAGCATTTGGCCACAACCCGCGGCACCCGTGAAAAGCCTTGTCATGGGTGCCGGTGCGAATGGCAGGTTTTCAGTGGGCTGCCAAGTCAAGCATCGCCCAAAGCCTGTTGAATATGTCCAGCAGTTATTTAGAAGGTGAGCCTTAAAAGTATTATATAATATCAAGCTGAACAAGACTGGGCAGGTTGCACGTTTGAAAAAGTTCAATGATTAATTGAATGCCTACAGGACACTCTACATGACATATCTGCATGATTCTATCTGTATATATATATATATATAATTATATATATATATACGTGGACTGGACTCTCCCGATGGAAGATTCGAATCTCAGAAATCTCGCCCTGTCTTGCGTTTTTTGGCACGCATTAATAAGTTAAATATCCCTACCATCTTGGGGGGGTGGGGGGCGGGGGTCAAATCCAAACATCCCAGTTACATACTACATAAGTGTCTTTGATCGGACCAAGAAGAGGACCGAGCCCCGCCCGGCTGGACGACTCGTCGGACTCACACGGAACGCGACGGGACGACTCGTGCACGGGTGGCCTTTCAACCAATGGGATCGGCCATCCGACATGAGGACGGTGGCCAGTAGAACGGAGAAGAAAATCACGGCCTTAGGCTGTGGTCTCGGCTGACATCGATTCATCCCCCACCATCCCACCCTCCTAGCGAGGACCATCTGTCAGAACGTCCGGGTCTGCTTGAATTAGATTGAACTTCTGGGAACACTTGACAAACCCTCCAACCATGAAGGTGAAAGATGGACCCGAAATGGTGTGACCCTTGTCGGCTGGAATTCCGCACGACGACCGGCCCAAACTGATTGAGATAATCGACCCCTACCACCCACGAAGAGGGCATGGTGTGAGGTTCTGTGAGGACTGCAAATGAAGGGTTTTCGATGGTTTCCTTCAAGAGGTGTCCTGGATGGGAATGGTTGGCGTTTTGGTGACAAAGGTGATGGTTGATGTGGAAAGAACTTTCTAGATCTACAATATGATATATTATACCATGAAATACAAAAACGTTCCAAGAACTGTCTCTTTTCGCACCCGGTCCAACTCCTTGCTTTTGCTCTGTGACACTGCCGGCTTCTCCAGGCGGCCGTGTTCACCGGGCCGAAGTCCAACGTCATCGGGACGTCCCACCTCTGCTCGGCTCGTGGCGCGGACGCGACCAGGGGATCCAAGGGATCCAAGGGGTGTCGATTCATAGCCCCCCAAGGGATCTAAGGGGTGTCCATGAACCACCCCTGCAAAGTGCTGCTAGACGATGTGGATGAGAAAAATGTATAACCAATGAAGTGGAACACTCTTACAAACCAACCAGGTTATCGTTCATTTCATGATTAGCATGGATCACTCATGCATGTCAAAAGATAACTTCATTAGTCCGGTCCTATGACCCTCTTTCTACCAATGCACCATGCTCAGTACCCTCCAGGTATTCGATGCTGGCTTTCCGTTTGATCCCCCCGCTCCAGGTCAAGCCGCATCCAACCCACGATCACTGCAAAGGGCACCACAAAGAGTGCCACCTGAGTCCTGGGCCCCGCGGGGCACCGCACCGCAGTGCATCGGATCACCTGACTCTACAGGCGAAATGGAGGCTTGGGTGTTAGGCCCTGTTGCAGGTTGAACCATTGGTGACCTGTTGGAGGTGCTGGTATAGGATCTAAAAGAGATATTGGGGGTTTGATGCCATCTGCTCCGCTTTCAACCGCTTTCAATGAACATCACCTCCCAGCAGGTTCCCAGCGGTCGCGCCACAGTGCAATGGTCGGGGACACTCCATCCGCGGTTCACTCCATGATGGGCTTAATTGCATCATTCTCCACACTTTCCATCCCCAAGGTCCATACAGTGGATTGAGAGTAGATGGCACAAGGGCCCCCAAGTTAGGTGGTTGATATGGATCATCTAAAGGACATCTTGCAGTTTGTGCCATCTACTCATTGTCATCTACTCATTGTCATCTAATATGGAACCCACTTGGTGGTCTACTCAGTGGTCTCAGTGGTCATCTACCCTCTCAAACCACTGTAATACAATATGTAACCCAGATGGGGTCCAAGGGAACCCATCAGGCAGGCCATTGGTCGGGCATTCGATCACCAAGGCGCGATGAGCCGATGGCAATGCCGACCTCGGCCGGCCGTTTCATCCAAAAAGGGTGGGTTCATGTAGACGCTACCACTGGCATTGCACGTGTTTATATACACCCGTAAACCCTCATCCTGTGTTTTTTGCCCGAGCTGGGCCCCCGGCTTCAAGCTTCGCGGGACTTGCTCATGTACCTACCACCAAGCGCCCTTATGAACTCATCAGCGGCACCCTCCAAACGGAAACGCTTTGTGAAACTAGATGGAATGTGCACATCCCTTAACCCAAAAAGAGGCAGGTGTCTCTAATTCTGTCCACCAAACCACCTTACGTCCGTTTTAAGAGGTCCTATCTCAACTTCAGCGGAAGAAAGCCTCCCCCCACTCTTCAGGCTATCGTGCCAAGGGGCCGCCAAGCCAGGCTTGTCGTCCATAGCAAAGCGCACGGCACCCAGGTGCTCACAGGCGTTGCCGGCGATGGGCAGCAACTGGGCGAGGCCGGCTCTGGTGGTTTCAAGAGGGATGTTCGTTAAGAAATGAGGTTCTTGAGAAGATTCCAGGTTTCTGGTTGTTCCATCTTTCGTCATGATTTGGACCAAAATCCGTCGCGGATACAGGTGTGCATGAAAATAGGGAGACCTCCCAACGATCCTCTGGGAAGAAGGGAAATAAGCCACAACATACAACATACTACAACCGTACCCATTGGTTGGGTGTCCCCATATTAAAGTACACACCCATACTGGCCCACACTGCTCTCCAAAGCAGATGAGAGATCTTCCTGCACTGGAAGAGGCCACGCTGGCCAAAAGGCGCCAGCGGAGCGTCGAACACACCGGAGCCACGCTGGCCACGGGTGCGGTGGGTGGGAGCGTTGCCGGCGCTGATTCGTGGCCGGAGGCACGATGGTGCCCAGGAAGTCCACGTTGATGTTCTCGGTGACCCCGTTGATGGACTCACAAAGGTAGTCGGAGATCAGGTCGGTGATGCCCTACAAAAATGGAGGGGAGGAGGAGGACTCAGGGAGGCCTTCCCAGCAAGTTCCTGCAGGCAACCCTTCTCTTTTACCTGATCTGAGATCCTGGGGCGCATGTTAAAATAATCAAACAAAACACAGTTGTTTTATCACTTATCTGTGGCCGAAAGGTGGCCGAAATGCTGTGAGCTCCATTTCCGCCCCGCACCAATAGAAACTCCTCCTTCGAACCCCCCCCCCCCACTCGCTCCGCTCCGCCCCGGCCGTAATGACGATCATCATCGTCAAGGAGACCCAAATCGCCAAGGGCGGCCGATCCTGCGGCCGTCGCCCGGTGGGGGTCGCGGCGGGACCGGGGGGGTCGGAAGGGACCGTTCCTCAAAAAGGGGCGCGTAGGTGGGACACAGTGCCACTGCTCGAATCACCCGACCCGGCCATAATTAGGCACTCACACAGATGACACGAACAAGCACGAACTGGGAGCGTTAGATGGGGTGGTTGCAACAAGCAAGTACTAAGTACAGTACCAAACCGGATCAACGGCTTGGGCACACCCCAAGGTGGGCACCGTCCTCTTCATCTTCGTTCTCTTGATCCTTCCTGAGAACAGCACAAAGCCGGGTCTCGCGCGTTTCTCATCGTCTGGCAAGGCGATTCAGCTGCACCACCAAAGCGCGCCACCGGAGGTCGTGCATGGCGTGGGGGACGAATTTCCCGATGTCAGTATCACTACGAGATGCCTTCGTCTTGGACCAGCAGACACACGAGATGCGCGTCGCTTCAGCCCCGAACTGGAGCCACCAGTGCGCGTCTGAAGCCCGGCCAAGCGTCAATTCACCCTCCTCATTCTCTAGGGTCTTCTTGTGCGACACCAGCTGGAAGAAGAGGAAAGCCAAATAGGCCGAACCCAACAGCCTCAGCCCATTCAACCATGCGGCCTCATGGCCTCTCTGGAGGGGTGCCAAACCGGGCCTGGCCCCTGGAACCCCGGTGACTGGGCCTGGGAAAGCCCAAATCGACGATCGATGGATCTTCATGTGTGGATTTGAGCGATGGAAACCCGTGGGTATATATAGGGAGTACTGAAGGGTGACATGCACGATTTCGGGCGGGTTTGGTTAGGGAATTGATACGTTATGATATGCTAAACTATATCTACACATGAGGAAACGAAACCATCAAAAGAAGCCAATGCGAGTTTTAGATAGCATGTTGAAAAGGAATCAGCTCAGTACGTCTCAGTACTGCAGTGGCGCTCATGGTCAGGCAATAGAACCCAGAATCAACAGGTGAATGATTCGGTATGTTGAGACAGGAACATTCCATCTCCGAAGCCTTCTCCATCTCCGGCCCGCAGAAAACCCAGCGCGAGAACAACATGTGTCGTTTCCAAAAATCGACCGGTTCAATGTGAGGTGTTCGCGGGCCCCTCATGGAAAAAATATTTTAAAAAAAGAACTTCCCATCCTTCTTGCCACTGAGCGACAGCCCGCCCCAGCGGGACACGTCCAGCAAGTCCTGTCGGTCATCCTCGTATCCTCGCTGTCGCCGTCTCCAGTCGCATCGGGGGCGGACGGGGGGGATGGTCCGAGCTCCAGGCACCCAAGGTCGGTCCAGTGTTTTCAAGAAGCCACATGTGGTTGGATGGGGTTCTGGTAGGCTTCCAAGAGCTCCTCCCGTACATGTCGAACGAAGGTCGGTGCCTTCTGAAGGTCTGTGTGAACAACTAGGACCCCAAATAGTGCCCACCTTGGGTATCAATACCCCAGCTATGACTATGACTACGAGAAACAGTCCTTGCTTTCCACGACGGACGTGAGCAACCTCGGCCCCAGCTGATTTCCTCTCCTTGTGCAAACAACGTGGGCAGCGCGAAGGACATGCAGCCTGAGGTTGGTGTTCTTTGAATCGAAGGACGCGCCATCGCGGCAGAAACTAAAATACTAAAGTTCAAATGCCTGGTGGGTGAGTAAAGAACTGATGCGAATCGATATATATATATTTAGTAATATGTGTGGTTATAACTTTTGCCGGTGGTGATCTTTTCAGGTTTCGAAGGAAATGCTGCTACACACGCTCCCTACGGCCAAATGCCACTGAAATTGGCACCGGTCCCTTCGTTGCATCCTGGCGGCAAAATACCAACAGCCCCATTTGCATAGTGACACCCTTCATGGCAAACTTCTGCTCCTTTTCCTCAGTGGCCCCTTGAACGATCTCGAATTTCTGTCAACATTTCTTGAATTTCCTGATGTCTTGCTGGTCTTGGTTCGAAATCCACATGAGGTGGGCAGTTCCCCTGCAAGACGGAGGTGGGATCCGGTCTGGTCTGGAAGGGATTCGGTGATTCGGGTCCGAGACCCGCTTTCCAGGATTCGGGTCGCGGCGCGTGGGAAGAAGACATCACGCGGGTCATGTGTGCCATGCGTTTCATGTCCGTCTCATCCACCCTTTTCGTTTTGGCAAAAAAACCAACGCCTCACACGCCACGCGTCCAACGAACCGACATGAAGAGTCACCAAGCGACACCCCCTCTGAGCATCCCCACCAACATAGCAAGTGAGAAAAAGGAATTATTTAAGTAATGACACTGACACTAGATACAAGTAAGAAATCAAGAAAGTATACAACATCCCCTGCCCAAAGAAATCATGAAAGTATCTGAAAGTCATGAAACATGATGACACTTTGTCATGAGCTTCGTCGAGAATCGCACTTCAGGAGGGCCCTTAGGCGAGACCGGCGAGACCCTCAGAACTTCTGGGCGGAGCCGAAAAAAGAATGGTGGCTGAAATCAAGTTGCCAAACCACAACTTGGGAACGTTTTATTCCAGTCCCATGGAGTCTCTCATTCAGTCAGGACTCCTACATCATCCAGTCAGGTGAATCGGACTTTTGCTGGTGGGAGTTTCATGGAGTTTCTAGAAATAGGCCTTAGGAGTGGAGGAGAGAATGCTGACACGCGCATGAGAATACTCAAAGCAGCTCTTGGCTTCCTTGTGGGGAAAATCTGAGACCCATTGAGACCCGAAAGTAGCTCTTGGCCTCCAAGCCGACACTCCTTGCATTTCTGCTTGAATCTGTTTGATAGAGTTTCAGCATGCCTCAGCCCTTTGCAGCCCCAGCTGCTCCTCCGACCATCGCAGTCGCAGCTTGCACCTTCACCTGCACGTGAGGAGAAAGCGTCGGAAGGATGTGGGACCTCCCAAGCACCACAGAAAACTCACAAATTCCCCTAGCCTTCTGTTTCAATGAGCGTCGTTTCGAACTCACCCTAAGAAGAAACAGCAGCGCCGGCAACATGAAGTCGGCAAGGCGCGACCAAGAAAACAAAGCAGCCGAGAGAAACCAGGGTTGGGAGCTGCTGCCGGGTTTGGAGCATCTGGCACTTGCTTGAAATATTTTGGGACTCCCCCTGCCCAAAACATACCAAAACCAAGATTAGTGGGGTAGGGTCTTCCAATCCACTTCCTCAACTTGGAGGCGGCTTTGACATCAGCACGGGCCCGTCTCCCTGTCACCGTTGTCATCTGGCTTGTTGGCAGAAGGAGAGACACCTGCGTCAGCCCGCCGAAGCAGAAAGACATGCCAAGCACCAGCCTGGGCCGATTGCGGAAGGTGGGGGGTGCCTTGGCGGGCCAAAAGGAAATACTGTCAATCACATCAATGGTTGTTAAACTTTAAAACCAGAAACCTCTGAACAAACATGCTCCTCCACCATCCTCCACCCGAGCTCTAGTGCAATGTTATGTCTCCCACCATTACCGGCCAAATGCCACCCTGGTGTTGAAGAAGTTGGCCGGTCCGCCTGCGGCTGGTTTTTTTGAGGACACCCACAATGCGAAACGGAAAGCCACATGAGCCCATTGGGCCTTGGGGCCGCCTCGTCTTCCCAAGTGCTTGAGCGACAAAGCTCTTGGCTTACCCAGCTGCATTTCCAATGCATTCCTTCTTTGGGGCTTATGCACCATCCACGCAGTAGATGGCTCAGGTCTGAAGCTGCTGCGTAAACGCACTGCGTAAACGCACTGCGTAAACGCACGCCCTCAAGTCCCTGGACCTTCACAAAACCGCCAACCGCCGAGTATGGTGCCCCTTGTCGTGCAAAGTTGAGCTGAAGCGACAGGTCATAAATCTATATTGTGATTCCTTCATGGAGGTGCTGCACTTCTTGCTTGGTCTGGCATCTTGAAGCATGCATGTGACGACGCAAACACATATTAGGGGAGCCCACGTGGCCACCGTCCTGCAGGCGCACGGATCACCTCCAGCAACCCCCCTAAAAACCTCCCAAAACATCGCCGGGACACAAGAGGTTTGAGAGAATCGAGCCCAACAGGGTGCTCTTCACCACATTGGTCCTCTCTGGAACTGGCATCCTTGGACCGGCGTGACATGGGTCCCGGACCCGAGGAGGACGGAGACATCGGGCCGCTGAGGGTCTGCTAGTCCAAAATGTTCGTTCCTTCAACCCTTCCGGAAGCAATTGAGCGGTGTCAAAAACCATCCGGAACTTTTATTAAGATTATAAGAACCTTTCGCCAATCCCTTCGCAATGCTTTCGCGGCTGCATGTTTTGCTCTCGCCGACCCACTTCACCCAACAACCTCTCTCGCTAACCCTTTCGCCGAGTTTCTGCTACTACTTGCATCTAAAATATCAGAAAGGGGAATCATTCCTAATCTGCAACCACTGCTTTCGCCACATCTTCGCGAACCTTTCACCAACCTTTCGCCTGGTTATCAGGAGTCTTTGGATGACATGCTTTGTACTGAAAACCTCTCTCGCCAACCCTTTCGCAATAAAATCCTTTCATCAAAAAATCAGAGCCTTTCTCCAAACCATTCGCCAAGCTTTCCCCAACTGCAGTTTTCCTTTCGCAAAGATTCATAATCTTAAGTCCTACCTAAATTCTTTCATAGCGGTTTATGACGTTGCTCAATTCGTCTACAAAATTATATGTGAAAAAATATATAAATAAATAAATATATATATATATATATACTGGGGCATTCATTTCCAAATAATTAGTGTTGACAAAAAGTACATTAAAAATTACACCGCCGTAGACCCCAAACAGTTAAACTAGAGCTTGCGACGTCCAGAGCTGGGAGACAAATGTAAAGGATTGCAAGGCAGAGACGGACACAGCAGTACAGAGCGGGCGGACACATCTTAAGAAAGAATTGGGAAGCCCTAACAGTAAACCTTTTCGGGAGTTATTCTTCAAGTGCGAACATGATGCTGGTCATGCTGCTCAATCAGCGGGCAGCTGACCACGTGAGGACAAGAAAAAAAAACATGAGGAGCGAAGGATGTGACATGAAATTGACTTTTGGTGCCTGACGTATGCCCTCCGTCCCAACTGAACAGAGAGATCGCTGCCACGCCGCCGAAATCCAATCCGGTCATTCATCCACCGCTTGCCCGAAAAGGACAACAAAGCTGAGAGAGTTACACAGTGTGGCAGCAATGCAATCCCGGAGACAGTCACTCACCCCTTTCAAAGGAGCAAGAACCTCTCACACGCGAACCTGTTCCAGCGGACAGGGCAGAAAACAGCAGCGCAGGCACCAAACCTGAAAGACAAAAAGAAAGAAGTCACATGGGAGATAAATGAATAGAAATGCTACATGGCCAGCGGAAAAGGGCGGCAGCACCAGTGACAGACCCGGGAAACAAATGAATAGAAATGCTGCATGGCCAGCGGAAAAGGGCGGACGCAGTGACAGACCTGGAAAACAAATGAATAGAAATGTTGCATCGCCAGCGGAAAAAGGGCGGACACCAGCAGTGACAGACCTGGGAGACCAATGAATGGAAATGCTACATGGCCAACGGAAAAGGGCGGACAGCAGCAGTAACGGACCTGGGAAACAAATGAATGCTACATGGCACCAGCAGTGACGGACCTGGCAGACAAATGAATAGAAATGCTTCATGGCCAATACACAAGGACACACCAGTGACAGACCTGCAAGACAAAAGAATAGAAATGCTGCATGGCCAACGGACAAGGGCGGACACCAGCAGTGACAGACCTGGGACATGAATAGAAATGCTGCATGGCCAGCGGAAAAGGGCAGAAATTAGCAGTGACAGACATGGGAGACAAAAGACGCGGGAGACAAATAAAAGGAAATGGGAAACAAATGCAAGGAAGTGGGAGACAAGCCAGCCGGGAATCGGACCACAAGCACCCAGCCTGGGAAACAAATGAAAAGAAGTGGGAGACACATTCAAGGAAGTGGGAGACAAGCGGGCCGGGAACCCGAGCACAAGCACCGAGAATGAAAGGAAGTGGGAGACAAGCCAGCCGGGAACCCGACCACAAGCAGACCACAAGCAAGCACCCTGGGGGACAAATGAAAAGAAGTGGGAGACAAGCCAGCCGGGAACCCCGCCACAAGCACCCAGCCTGAGAGACAAATGAAAAGGAGTGGGAGACAAATGAACCCGACCACAAGCACCCAGACAAATGAAAGAACTGGGAGACAAGTGAAAAGAAGTGGGAGACAAATGAAAGGGAGTGGGAGACAAGCCAGCCGGGAACCCGACCACAAGCACCCAGCCTGGGAAACAAATGAAAAGAACTGGGAGACAAATGAAAAGAAGTGGGAGACAAGCC